AGTCACCGGTTTATTTTAAAATCCCAAATCGAGGAAATTGACTCTACTTATGGTCCGCGAACACAGAAGACCGGCTAAGGAATTCTGTTAACCCGGGAGAAGGTGTGAGGCACTACCGAGTTCCGTGGTTTTAGTTTTAGCACGGTCGCTTGACAATTAATATTTGGCTTAATTATCTAATATTATTGCGTGTTTATGAACCTTTTATGCATTGCTGCTTTTATACCGCTTTTATTTATTTTGAGCCATTTTCAGTATTTATGGAATTTATTTGAACAAGTCGCGATGTCGCGCACTTGTTGTTTTTGTACATATTGCAAATCACGTCACGTGAAACGTACCCGCGATTTACAACATGTTTATTTTATTACTTCTAAGTTGTAGGTCGAGTCACGCGAACGTGCAATTCGAATTTGGAGTTGCGTATCACGGCTATGCCACGGGAATCATACCCATAGCCATGATAATTTATTTTATTAATCGCGCCTAAAGCAAACTACGATTGTTCATGAATAATTTTCCTAAACTACTTGAGATTTGTTGTGAGGCTAAGAATTTATGAAATCATTAGGGAAGAGATGGTATGAATTGATTATCAACCTTATTGAAGATACGGTATTGGAACTTATCAATTATGTACTAAAGACTTGCTAATTATTTTTATTTTTTAACCATAGAAGACAATTCTTAGTAGGGCAACTTTGAACAATCATACAACAACATCCAATTAACACGAAATCAACCAGCAGAATATCCTTAATTTGACAAATCACAATGGCCTACCTAGATAACATATAGACTTGACCAAACCAAACTAAAACAGAATAGTGCTCACATGATTAATGGAGCTTACCTTAAAATCAAATCAATAAATATCATGCCAACAAACTGAATTTATGAGTATCTATATCAATGTAGTCTAGCAATAAGTGAAATGTGACTCTATTCCAACAAATAAGCAAATCAAGAGTAAGGGATCGTGTAGCTAAACGAGACCAAAATGCTAAAACATGAATATGCTGTGATATTTTTACACCTTTGAACAAATCATCTTAGTGAATATGAACACCAATCAAATAGTAAACACATCAATAAAATCAGCCAAGTGAAACTCAAATATTCTGTAAAGGAAAGGAATGGACCTTTAGAGGCTGAAATATTTTAGATATAAGAACTTCTTGGGATGTCGAGTACAAGAACATCCGGCAACAACGATTTGAACAGAACAAAAAACTAAAACAGGGGCCTTCAAACCGAGCAGAACTAATCGGCACCTCGAAAGCGACCTTGGCTAATCCTCAATTGCTGGAGCTATTTTGGAATTGGTGTTTTTTGTGAGAAAGGGCTGCTTTAATAGCATTTTTCAGGTGATTTATTGTTTTTAAGGAGGGATTTTGGAAGCTGCTTTTAGCTGCTTTTTGTGGGAGTTTAATGGAGTTTTGTAGCTAAAGTTGGGGTTTTTTCGGGTCTGTTGCAGTGGCGGATTTGGTGCGTTTTTGCTGGATTTTCGTTGGGTTTGAGCTCCTGTTTTGGACTGATTTTCACTGGAGTTTGGTGAAGGATTTGAGCTCGTTTTGGGGCTACTTGGTTATGGGATTTGAGCTGGAGTTTTCAGGTTACTCCCATGGCCAGAAATGGACCTTTAGTGGTGGTTTTGAGGGGGTGAAGCTGCTGTCTTTTGAGGGAGATAGAGGTGTTTTCATTTATAATGTGAGTGAGAGTGTGAATTGGAAAGCAAAAATAAAAAGTGTGTGAGCATGTGAGTGACGTGAGTGGAGGGAATATTTTGAGTAAGACAAAGTTCGTTACTAAATTTATATCCATTTGTGCCAAAAAGTGCTTTTTTTTCTTCTTTTTTTTCTTTTAAAAGGATAATAAATAAAAGGAAAATTAATATTCTTACATACTCAATATTTATTTGTTTAGAACCTCTAACTTAGAAAATACACTAAAGTAATAACCTACAAAAAGTGAAACAAAAGCTAAAATCAAGATTAAACTTTAAAACTATTTAAATACTAAAAAAACAGTAAATAATCAATTATGATAAAAAATTAAGTGCTCAAAATCCCCCCCCAAAAAACGAGAAGTACAATTCCTACCTCCTATCAAAGAATTCATACAAACTGTCCACATCTTTCATGCTAGGGGGATCCGAATAAGGAACCTTCTTTTTGTGACTCAAAAAATTCGAAGGGGAATTATCTTTACAATCTGATGAGATCTTTGGAAATGTTATTCTTGCTGTTGTTTGCACAAACTTAACATATCCCTCAAAGGGAATGAACTTTTTTACTCCACTAAACCATTTCCTCATTGGGATATTCAAATGATTAGCTGTAAACAAGAAAACAAATTGTTAGAAAATCAGAGCCAGCTAATCAAGTTAGTACAATATATATTACAAACTTGCTATTCCTGAACAAAGACTTACCTGCCAAATCTAAGCCCAGCAAATCTCTTTTATTCTTTAAGCCCTGCCCATTCAGTTCACACACATTATCACCATAGTTTTATTAGAAAACAGCATCAGCAGCAACAACAACAACGCATCCATCCCAACCAAGTTCCGGTCGGTTATATGAATCCTCACTAACCACGTTACTCCATTTAAACTCGTCTCATTCCAATACTAGGCAAATAAAAAGTAATAAAGTTTTATATATTTTCTTTTTGCACCCAAGGATGTAGCTTAGTGGTCAATTAAGTGGGTGGAGAATTATGAAGTCTCGCAGGTTAGTTCTTCTCATCTGTCTAAGCTTTAGTGGACAAAGTTAGCTGGTGTACCCGATGGAATTAGTCGAGGTGCGCCCAAGCTAGAATAACACCGTTATCAAAAAGAAAAAATTGAAGTTCTGTATATTTTCTAAACATATAAATCTCTGGAAGGTTATAACTCTATAAGTATCACCAAACATTAATCATGTTAAAGGCAACCACAATAAAGAATATTTGGTCCTAACATCAGATAAAATTAGCTACTGATATTAACAAACTGTGCTGGAATTTTAGCATCATCAAGGATAATTGGAATTACCGGAAAATAAGATAAAACATAAATTTCACGAAAATGACATAGAGATTTGGGAATGAAGATTATAATAACTTACAGAAATTGAGGGTTCGCAACAAAGTCGAAGAGACATGGACATGGATATGGCCAATTCGAACAATTTGTGTTTGAGATGTGCTCTCAGTCTCAAGTCCCTTTTTTTAGCTCACGTTCGAACATTGAGCGTATTGTCTTCCACGTAGCACAACTCTCCACCGCTCAGAACTGAAATTAAGTGAGGTTTTCAATAGCTTCTTTGCAACATGTTTTGACGGTTGTTTTGTATTGCATCCGATTGTTATTTTGATTGTTAATTAAATTTAATTATATCGTATCGATAAATATATCGTTACGTAACGATAAAATGTGTCACTTTATATAACGATCGATTTGGTATGGTCACGTCGTTACCTTATTTTTTTTCTCAATCTCACCCTTCATTATTATTAAATAATTTTATTTTATCATTTACCCTACCTTTTTATATACCGTATTATAATTTTTTTTTATAATATTACAAGTTTATTCTTCATATTGCTGGTTGTGATATTATAAAACGACGTCAAATGGCACAATATATCCAAATATTATATTTATCAAACGATACAGTACAATACAATACAATACGATACGATACATTACCAAACGATACGTAACAACCATCTAAACAATGCATTAGTAGTGTACCAAAGGGAGGTACCAAATTAGCTTTTGGATCCATTTGATTTTTTGTGTCTTAATTTAAGTGGGACAAATAAAGAAAGTAGAGAGTTGTGACTTGTGATCTTAATAAATTAAAAGAAGTATACAATGTGTTTAGAAATTAGCATTTGAATATTGTGGTGTTAGATACGACAGGTGAGATGTTAGAATAAAATAATTATTACATATAAAAATTAATATTTTTAACACACTAAAAGGCAACGTAAGACATAAAAATAAAAACAAAATTTTATATTATTTTCCAGAAACCTAATTATATTGATTTGTAGTACTTTTTATGTAATTTTTAAATATATAAATTTTAATTTTAATTTTTAAAAAATTTATAGTACTTTACAATACTTTCTATATACTTTTTACGTAATTTTTACATATATATACTTTTTATATAATTTTTGAAAATAAATTTGTAGTACTTTTTATGGAATTTTTAAATATATAAATTTAATTTAAAAATTAAAAAATTGTAGTAAAATCACATTAAAAATTAGATATATTAACCGCATCCTTCATTCGGTTACACAAATTGAAATGGAGAGTAGTTTTTTAACCTTCTCTTTTTGTTAAAATCTTTTTTTAAAAAAAATCTTCTTTCTGTAAGTACTCCCTCCATTCAATTCATTTGTTCATCATACTAAAAATATATATTTATTTTTACTTATTCATTTTAGCAAATAAAAAAAATACAATCTTTTCTTATGTTATCTTTATTATTAACTATTCATTCCCAAATGATTCCAAAGACTTTTTGAAATGTTATCATATAAGTAAAATATATATTTTATTTATTTTTTCTTAAAGGGAGTGTAAAGTCACAAGTAACAAACATCATAATACTATTATAATAGTACTGATTAGATCATCGAAGCTCATTTTGTTTCAACAGAATAATAATTCTACCACTCAAACATATTACTTTTTAAAAATATCTTTAAACATAAATTTTGTGATTCGTTAAGCTTAACAAAATAAACAAATCATTAATGTTTTAGATTACTTTTTACATAATTTTTAAATATTTACATATCACTTAAAAAAATTATAAGAATTCAAGCTTAAATTTATCCTTTCTTTTCTATCAAACTTTATAGTTCACCTTTTAATGGAAAGCGTTTTTTCTCCCAAAATAAGATGGCATTAATTCGAATTAATAAGGTATTAAGATGACACCAAAAGAGAATATCCTAATTTTAACTGCTTCTAAAGAATATAAGATGACACTTCCCTTCATTTTCGCTCAATTTATAAGGGAACAATGTCTACCTTAAGCTCAGTAACTCGCTCAATTGCGTACAATGGCTTCTTCCAAAACCTTATTATGACTATGCCCATTACTCCACCACAGATTATAAAGAGAAAGCGAAGTTTAACTGTATCATCACTCTCCATTCCTCACAATAATGAGACGAACAAATCCATGGCAGAAATGGTTCCAATTGTTTCAAACAGGCGAGTGCTTAATTTATCCATTTTGACGGTCTTATTGTGGGACCCTTTCTCAACCTTCTCTGTAGCCATTGGTGGTGAGGTGTTAGAGCTTGAAAGATACACTGATTCTACTGAAGGTTTCACTCTCCTCAGACCTTCTTCTTGGATTAAGGTCCGTCCCCCTTTCTTTGCCCCTATTTTTGAAACTTGCAGTTGTAAATATTACTTCTTCTTATGTCATCTTTGACTATGTGCGTTTTAGTTATTGCATAGTCTAATTGGTAAGATTAGCCTTGTCGGATTTGTTGTAGTCATAACAAAAATGTTATCAAGACCATTGTTGGACAATTCTTATTCTGGGCAGCCTGGTACACTAGGCATCCCCGCATTCATGCAGGGTCTGGGGAAGGGTCGCACCCCGAGTCTTCCATAGTTCACACAGAGACAATTCTTACTCTATCATGTGGAAACACACACTCACATAGTAAATGGAAAGGAAATAGAAGTACTTTTAGAGTCAGCGGTGGAGCTAGAAATTGAATTAATATAAGGAGATTAAAAAAAATACTAGAATGTCATAGTTGAAATTTGAACTTGTGATCTAAAGCAACTTTTACACCCCTATAATAGAATTTTACCATATGTAGGATGTTACAATAGGTTACATATAACCAATTCTTTATTTTTTATATTTATCCTATTTGTACAGTATAATTTTTCAACAAAGGGATTTAATTGAACCTCCTTTCCTCTTATTAAGCTCCGCCATTAGAGTTATATCATATGAGGAGGTTTTGGAAATTAATTGTGCGATATTGGGTTCTTTAGGTTGATAAGGCTGGGGCAACTGTCCTGTTTCAGGATGCAAACAAGGGATCCAACAATGTAGGCGTTGTGGTTATCCCTGTAAAAATAGCAACCCTTAGCCAATTCGGGACTCCACAATTTGTGGCAGATAAGCTAATTCTGGCTGAAAAGCGCAAGGTCAGAATCCTTTTACTTTTGCAGTTCTTCTCTTTCTGTTTCTCTTTCTGTTTCTGTTTTGTTGCTGTTTTGTAATTCCATTTTACTAACAAGGGATTATTCAACTAGCTTATATTGGTTTATAACAAAGTACGTGGGTAGAGCTCAAAAAGTAGGAATGTTGATGAGGTCGAAAGTCTAGTGGTTATTGCTCACATATTTTGTCCTCGTAATCTCCATTTCCTTGGCAGTGTCATTTTTTGTGGGCAAACTATTTGTATGTAGTAGAGTAGCTCTCCCTCTACTATATCGCAGTTGTGGGGGGGCCAACGTGTAATCCACTTGTGAATCTAAAGAAGGGTAAAGGAGGAGTCCAATCAGCAAGTGAGATTTTTAGATTTTGGGATTGAAAAGAAAGATGTATAAGTTAAGACTGTAGATCCTAGTGGAAAAGAATAATAAAAATATAAAATTATTTCAAATCACTGGAGAAGTAGAATTTGCAAAAAGATAACATGGGTTGAATGTTGCAATGTGTATTAATTCCCCATCCCTGATTTTTTTAAACTCTTTTTCATGAGTGTTGGACGCACTGACACTTGTCTTGGTGCATGCTATATAGTCTGATTGATGAGACGCAAGTTGGCGTTAACGAGAGACTGGAGGTATGGAGGCAGACCCTGGAGTCTAAAGGTTTCAAGTTGAGTAGGACCAAGACGGAATATTTGGAATGTAAGTTCAGCGACGTGTTGGGAGAAGCGGATGTGGAAGTGAGGCTTGACTCACAAGTCATCCCTAAGAGAGAGAGTTTCAAGTACCTAGGGTCTATTATCCAGGGAGATGGGGAGATCGACGGGGATGTCACACACCGTATCGGGGTGGGGTGGATGAAATTGAGGTTAGCGTCTGGAGTCCTGTGTGACAAGAATGTGCCACCGAAACTTAAAGGTAAGTTCTACAGAGCGGTGGTTAGACCGACTATGTTGTATGTGGCTGAGTGTTGGCCAGTCAAGATTTTACATACTCAGAAGATGAAAGTAGCAGAAATGAGAATGTTGAGATGGATGTGCGGGCACACTAGGATGGATAAAATTAGGAATAAGGATATTCGGGAGAGGGTGGGCGTGACTCCCGTGAATGACAAGATGCGGGAAGCGGGACTTAGATGGTTCGGGCACATGCGCAGGAGGAACCTAGATGCTCCGGTTAGGAGGTGTGAGCGGTTGGCTCTAGCAGGTACAAGAAGAGGTAGAGGGTGGCCTAAGAAGTATTGGGGCGAGGTGATCAGGCAGGACATGATGCGGTTTCAGATTTCCGAGGACATGACCCTTGATAGGAAGGTGTGGAGGTCGAGCATTAAGGTTGTAGGTTAGGGGGTAGTCGAGCGTTTCTCTTCACTGCGCCGGCTAGTCTGATAGTGTTTTGTCCAGGACTGCTAGCGGTTTTTATTGTGTTTCACATTTTTTTTTTCTATCTTTCACATTTTGGCCTTTCCATTTATTTGCTGTATTTTACGATGCCGATACTATTTTTCTGATTTCTGTTATTGTTACGGATCTATTGTCTCTGAGCCGAGGGTCTCCTGGAAACAGCCTCTCTATCCCTTCAGGTAGGGGTAAGGTCTGCGTCCACTCTACCCTCCCCTGACCCCACTAGTAGGATTCTACTGGGTTGTTGTTGTTGTTGTTTTCCATGAGTGTTGGAAAATATGGTTGTTGTAAAGGGCAGCGCAGTGCACTAAGCTCCTGCTATGTATGAGATTTGGGGAAGGGCTGGACACATTGAGTCTTATGTACGCAACATTGGGTCTTATATACGCAACCTTACCTTGCATTGTTGCAAGAGGTTGTTTCCGTGGCTTGAACCCGTGCCTCCCGGCTACATGGAGCTTATACACAATTTTAGCTTTTGTGCCCAACAATATTGGCAACTAATAATACTATGTCATCTTACTCTTAGGAGAGTACAAAGGAGGCTGAGGTGGTTGCAGTATCAGAAAGAACGGGAGAAGGAGGTCTTCAAGTGTATGAGTTTGAGTACAAGATTGATAGCACCAGAGGAGGGATGAAGAGGATATTGTCTGCTGCATTTGTGGCGTCTGGGAAGCTCTATCTGTTAAATATTGCACACTCTGATGGATTAGAAAGTCCTATCGACCCAGATAGAAGAAATACGTTGGAACAGATTCTTCATTCCTTTGATACTGCTCCGTCGACCTAAATACTCATAAGCTCATTGTTTTTCCCTCACTGGGCATCATTTTTCATGCCTTTTACTGGGATCAAAACCAAAGGTATTTTCCCAGTTTTTTTAATTTGAGTCCTGTGTTGTAATTCTCTGACTTAATAGTGGCATCACAACTTGTCGAAGTGGCATCACAACCTTGTCTCCAAGTCTTAGGTTTTTATTGAGCTAGAAGAGTATTCCAATCAATCAAGTACTCCGCAATCTGAAATATTTGGTGTTATCTACATAACTTCTGTATCCATTCTGTTCTATTCAGGTCCATTTCATTCTAATACTAAATATTTGTCTTTTAAGGCAAAGTAGGGGTTCTTTAAAACCATAAGTTCTCCAAATCTCACACTTATCCCTAATCTATAGATGACCGTCTTTGCCAACCAAATTGATATATACAAGCCAGCACAGATATACATTTGCAATATATGTACACATGAAAATCAGCTTGCAAAAGTCATTGGTATGTGTATTTTATCCAGATATATGCAGTTTTAGAATTACAAAGAACATTTTAACCCATCTCCCCCCTCATTACTGATTCCGTCGTTCCTTTCAGTTATTACTGCATTCAGATTCACTGATACTCTCCTGCTCACTGTTGAAGCAATCTCTCCAAAAAAATGCTTAGTTCTATGTTAAAATTTTTCTAGCAGCCCTTATACAGTTTGTTCCTTGTCATGTTATCGGTTCCGCAGAAACCTTTGTCACTTTTAATCAGCCACTATTGGCTAAGGCTTTACCAAATGGTGTCAACATGATAATGACATCCTGGGATGATGGAAAGTTAGCTAAATGAACTTTTTTTGTAATAGAGATTATTGGGCTTTCTTATGCGTCAGTAAGAACTTCCTATGGTCTCCAGAGGAGGTTGAGCCATCATTCTTAGTTCAGAAAGGAAGTTGGGAATATAGACCTTGGCACTAGTCTTGGATAGTAAGTCTCACATATTTGGTTCATTGGATCAGAGGCCTAGTTGTTGAAAATGTTATCGCATAGTTGGCATCCAAAGGTGTGGCCTAGTGGTCAATGAAATGAGTGCAAACCTACGAAATCAGGGTTCAAATCCCAGCTGAGTAAAAATAAAAAGGTGATTTCTTTCCATTTGCATAAATCTTGGTGAAGGAAATTATCCGGTACCTGTGATAGTGGCAAGTAGCAGGTACTCGATGAAAAGTCGAGTTACACGTAAGTTGGTCCAGGCATTACAGATATCCATCACTGTTGAGCTTGTGCCGAGTAAGAAAGGGATTAAGTCCATTCCCGGAGCTTTATTTCTTAAACTTCTTGTCTTCTCAGGGTGTTTTGTTTCGCTTAATCATATACAGGGTGAAGACATTTAGTTTGAGCTCCAATGTGGTGCAATTGTGGATATGAATATGCATCTGGTTGTAGACGATTTGGCACTAAAGCACTAAAACACATAGAAGCAAATGAATGTTCAACAGTCTTTGGTGAAGTTCTTTTAGCAGCTTTAGTTTATGTCGTTTTACTAATATAATCTGGTGGAAGATGGTATAAGTTAGGGCTATCAAATTTGGCCCAAGCCCAAATGACCGGTCCAACCGCCCCAAGGTTGTGTTTGGTTATTGACCCGCATATTTATTAAACTCAGCTCATCTTGACCCAATCCATCTCAACCCATTTAAAGTTGGGCTAATTTTTAACCTTAATTGATCTATGAGTAATTTTGCAAAAATATCTTAGAAATAATTCTTTTTTGTTTGATATATGACCATAACAAAAGAAAAAAAAATCTTATTTAATAATTATAAAGTTCATAAGAAAATAACACATACAGTCAGACCTCTCTATTACAATATCCCTGTATGACAACCATTCACTATAAAAACCAAGTTTTCCTTAGAACCGATTTTTTAAGATATATTTTACCTCTCTATAACAGTTTTTTTTACCTATAACAGCAACAACCATATCTATAGCAGAACGCTCTTTGTAAAATTATCCCTCTATAACAGCTATATAGAATCTTTAAGATTACTAATAATAATTCTAAAAATATGCACACAATCTTTTCCATTGAACAAAGTTTCTATCTTGCATAAGACATAAGATTTGAAGATCTGCACATGATATATTTTCCATTGGATATCTTTTTGCTCGAAATTTAGACACGAATCTTCGCCAATTCAAGCGTTGTATCAGTAGTAAGAGAATGAAATCTATGAAACAACTATAATTATAAAGTTTTTCTATCAATCTTGAAAGAATTTATTTTCCTAGTAGCTTTAAAATGTGTGCCTTATAGTTTAAATCTTTGTTCGTTTAGTTATGAATTAATTAATGTTGTATTAGCTTTCTTCAATATATACCTGGTGAAATATGCATATCTTCTGAGATTTTAAATTTGAAGAATTTTCTTATCTTTTATATGTAACATTAAAAAAAAAAAAAATAATTAATTTTTGGATAAGTTTTATTTATAACGGCCAAAAAATATTTGAACGTCAAATGTTGTTATAGGTGTATAACAGTCATTCGCTATAAAAGCCAAAAGATATCGGAACAAACGATGTTATAGAGAGGTTTGACTGATTAAAGCTTCGTAAGAGTTGGGCGGGTTGGGTTATAACCCAAATTTTAGCCCATCTTGACCCAATCCATCTCAGTCCAAGTACCTTTTGGGTGGGTCATTTGACCCGCCTATTTATTGACTCGGCTCATTTTGACCCGTCCAAAATCGACTCAACTCGCCCATTTGACACCCCTAGTATAGCTTAACCTTCTGCAAAGCATTACTTTAAGGATAAATAGAAGTGCATGCCTTTTCCTTAAAGTGATGGTATTAGCATTGTTATTTCTTTACATGAAATGGGATACAAATGTTAAGGACATATGGTTGTGAGTGGCGTGGATTTATAAGCAACTGTTAAAAGGTTTTTGTAATAAAAGTTGACTTTATTTCACACTTTTAATTGAATGGAGGGTGACATATTTATATAGTCTTCCCTTAATTTCTCAGCAACTAGGGATACAAATTCCTTCAATAATCATCGAAATATATACTCCACTCGAGCTCCATCAGTGCTTTAACAAAGATTCTCCTAACTGTTTTACAATCTTGATTTGAGATAATTTTCTGATGAATCTTTTAACAATCTAAATGACAATTAATCTCAATGTGTTTGGTTCTTCTGAAATACTGGATTAGAAGCAAGCAACATGAAGAGCAATTGGTTTTAACAACATAATTTGCAGTTCGAGTAGCAATCTTAAGACCAATATTTCAACACAGATTGAGCCATAGCTCTGTATTTGAGAGACCATGCTTTGTAACACAAATACCCCCAACAAAAACACGGTATCTAGAAGTTGATCTCCTTCTACTTAAAACTCTATTTGTTTGTTCATAACGTCTTTCCAAAGTCTGCCATTTATTTAGTACTCGGTGAGAGATGATTTGATTTACCACACTGACCAACTATGTAATGTCAGGACTCAGGAACATCGCTGTAAGATTTTATTGGTGAAATTTTATCAGAAAAGGTCGACCAAAAAAATAAAAATAAAAATTAATTCCAACAGTAGGAAGGCAGAGTAAGTGCTCTATAGAGAACTAAATCTATCCTCGTCACACCATATTTTGGTGGTCGAGTGGGACAGGATGTAGAAGGTTGACCATTTGGGTGGCGAATCCTCCCCACCGGCCCAACTGACACACGCTACGCCGGCACAATGTAAAGTAAATCCGTTAGAAAGCTCAAATAGCTAATTGTCAACTAACTAGAATGTTCACATTCATTAGTGACCAACCACTGAATATATAAATAACAATCCTGGAGAGAAGCGAATACGATAGTATCAAATCTGAAATGTGGAGTATTCATCAATGAAAGTGAAATGTCCTCCCAGTGAGTGCAATGTTGAACAAGTATAGCACCTACAAGTGTTTAGTCCATCCTTCCCTTCAAGATCTTCTCTGTCACTTCAGTTGGTGTACTGCAACCACACACAGATTGGACCAAATAAGATGGGAGTACCGAAAAAAGATTACTTGCTTCAACTAATATGATATCATGAAATATGCTCCCATTCCACCCCTAAGGACCAAATAACATAAAAGGAAAAAGGAAGGAAAACGAGAGAGATGCATAAAGAGAGCATGTTAAAGTTTAGTACTCTACTTGGAGCTGGGAAATGCGTCACATAAAGAGTTAATGACAACCAAAGTCCTCGATCTTTGGAAAAATAGAAGTGCAATAATAATCCCTTACAGCTCACGCTTTGGGGGAGAACTACAAAAGGTCATAACTATTGCCTCCAACCAACCATCCCTCCGCCAGAGCCCCTTCTCTCCACTATTGCTTAGGCTCCCAGCTCGTCATCTTCCAGAACCCAGTTCTCCCCGTTCCTGAGCCTCAAGTAAGAACCCATATCTCCAACATTTGAAGGGCGATCATTTCATCACTCCCACCCAGCCACCTCCCCATGCCCAATAATGTGTACCATACTTTAGGCTCATCTTTTTCTATTTCTGTTTTTAGGAGGGCATTTTCCCAAATATTACCTAATCCTCTAAACATGGATGATTATCATAGAGTAATTTTGTTTCGTACAGGGACTACGGTAGATATTACTAAGGAGAAATGATTAATAAAATGAGCATATGAAAGCAACTGAATACTTACACAACATAAACATGTCCTCCCCAACCACTTAAACAGTCACGGTCCACTGATGACAAAAGTGCCTGAGAGATGGTCTCAAACAATTCTTCTGGTTCCTGAAATGTTACCATGCAATAAAAAGCCTTAAAGCCAATAAAAATGAGAAATAAATGCATGACAAACACCAGAAGCATTGCAAGGAAGTACCAGATAGAAAAATTCTAAAGCATGTACATGTAATGTTGGATAGGAAGATCTGAACCTCGAGCGAACTTAAATACCTGCTCTAATAATTAACATAAATTTAATCTTATTTATTAGTCAAAAATCATTTCAGTGACAACACACCAAGCTGGTGTCAGAAACTATTTTAAAACATGTGAGTGGCTCAACCACCATACTCTATCTGGCTATCTAATCATCTATACACACACTGTGTTCCTTCCTCTACAATCAAAAGAATATGTGATATGAAAATATCTTAAGAAACATCTTTGCACTACTACGGCTTAATCTCTTGCTCTCTATCCAAATAGACCAAAAAACGCATGGTGGTTTACTTTTTCATGCGGCTTTGTCCTACTAGTCAATTCTCTGTGTTTTCTAACAGGTGATATCTTTGCCGCCTCATCAGCATCATCAAAGTCAGATCAACTAAAAAAGTGCAAGATTCCACAACTGTGTTGTGAGCTGACAACATAAAACGATGTGATTTGTATCCTTATACCACTCATTACATAAAAACACCAATGCAGATCTAATAAAACTGATTTTTCACCCATAAAGCAGCATCTTCTAGAAAGAGAAACCTGCTGGCAGTTTTACTAAATCAACACACAGAATGGTGACTACAAAGACTCCACGTTTTTTCTCTAAACGTGTCTACCAAATATACTAATCCTCAAATGCCAGCTGAAATAAGCATCGAATAAAAGCAGCACCTCAGCAACTCTAGGATGATTATCTCCATTAGGGAAGAAAAAATTGACATGTAATATATGTCAGTCAATCTAGAGATTATGTAATTATAAAAAAATAAAAGCAAGAGCGGTAACAAACCAGGTCAGGTTTGAACATGGCCTCACAGGCACCATATAGTGATTCAGATGCAGTGCCAGCAACAACAAAATCTTTTGCAAGCTCCCTGCACGACAAGAATAACATCCAAGTAACAATATTGTAAGCATTCAATGCATGGAGACCCCGGCAGAGTACAAAAGTCTCGATAATTTAAAACTTGATGCAGTAGGAAGAAACTCAACATACTTTGCTCCGATAGCATCCATTGTGCAAATAAAAGGTTTGTCATCGTCTCCTAATCCAGCAATTACAGGTTGGCAAAAGTATGGACCAAACCTAGATAAAAGCAAATGGATAATGCAGTTATTACAAGTTGAAGAAGCATCAATCATGGATGACCAGACAAACACCCCCGACTCGAATTTTGATAGGTTTTTTCCAACAAAACATCTATTTGGAGTGAACAATTGTTATCAAGCTTGTTAATTTCAAATTCTTGGCTCGGTGAATTTTTGAGCTAAAATATGAACGAGGAGATGTTCGACAAGGAAGTTCGAGAGCTCGGCTTGATTTTAATTTATCACTTAATATGGGTCATACCCGTAAATTCATTGTGTGGGATGTTTAACATGTCTGCATGAGGATTGCCAAGACATATTGACAAATTCTCGGGTTAGAATTTTATTATAGAATTCAGTTGGAAAAACTAATGGGAAGTAAGAACACATCATCTGATGTGTTTTTTACCGACATTAGAATTTGATCCTTCTTTTCTTCCAGGTACATCCTCCTATCTCGAGTAGCCTTTACATACGATTTAGGAAACATTTTCACGCTAAAGAGTACTTTCTGCTCTCGTCTGATTTGTTGCTAATCATTCTTCAATCTTCCCATATCTTCTCTCTTTTCATTAATCCAATAGATAATAGATCTCAGATCTAATCTATTAAATGGCAAATGATGCCTTACCCCACTCAAGAGCTGAAGTCAACTTAAAACTAAGATCCAATGGATTAATTGCAAACTTTTGCTCAAAACCAAGCATTAGTTCATGTCATATTTGAGCTTGACTTTCAAAGTTAGTACATACATTTGATTTAACCAAAACTTTATGGAGTTCAGCTTAATTTGTTTGGATTACTGCTAAAAGAAAGATTGGGGCTAACACAGATTTATAAGAATCAGAAAATAAATAACACTGTGCTGGGACCAAATATTTTCTTCATCTATCTACTCAAATCTAGAACTAAAAACCACAAGATACGAAGAACATGAGGAGAAAAATCTTTCACAGCTTTAAATGTGCTTCAATGACTTGCAACTTATTTCATCCCCCCCGCCCCCCAACATATATCAGGAAGTATTATATACACCAAGAGGTATAATGCCTCTACAACTAGGTTCCAGCGATATCTCGCAACTAAGCGGACAGATAGAATATACAACAGTAAGTGTACAATAGCACTTCACTGCTACTCAATTGTCCATAATGATGTCTTTGTAAACGAAACTAAGGATCAAGGTTAAATGATTTGCCAAGACTAGAACACATTGACCAATAAAGAAACAACAGAACCTTAAGATAGATATTTCTTCAGATGTTGTATTGGCAGGAATTAGTTACATTTAAAGTGGGGAATCCTCCAATAATCATGGGCAACCTGCAGCTCAAGCTCCGCATGGAAGGCAAAATGGGATCATCAGAAACCCTTAACCAAGGAGTTTCCAATAGGTATTTGGTGGAACATGAAACAAGTTAAAAAGCGAGCCCTTTTTCCCTTTTGCCAGCAACAGTTCGTTTTTAACTTTATCAAGGAATAAAATCCAGGAATCCTATAAAATTACGTGGCATATTGAAGTCCTTCACCAGAAATTTGGTGAAGCTGTTCTAATGTTTCTAAATATTTTGTTAAAGATATGATAGGCATATAAAGAAACTTCATATAAAATTATAAACATCTATAAAAATAAATATATTTATATGTTTGTTTGGTGCAGTATTTTCTTATTCAATACCAAACCAAATACATGTCAGTTTTTTTGAAGTCAGTTTTATACAGTTTTTAAATCTGATTTGGTCTTCTGGTTTTCCTTGAGCACCCATAACCGTGGGTAATCTTCAGGAAATAAACGTTAATGCCACAGAACATATAACTAGTTTACCAACCTTTTCTCATAAAGAATAGCAGATACAAGGCTGGCAAAAGTTTCAGGCTTCATATCCCTCTCTTCTCTAAGCTCATATAGCTTGTGACGGAAGACAAGCCTTTGATACCTAAAAAACCGTAATCAAAAACACAAATCAGTGTGCAAAATCCAAAGAAATCATGCTAATAAACAGATTTTGATGCACCCCCTCATCATCCCACAATCAACAAGAAAGCAGCACCAAATAAGAGAAAGATAAAAAAACAGTTCCACCCTTTATTTCGCACCCCCCACATCCCCAACCTGGATGAAGCATCTTAGTCAGTTATCACTAACTCCAAGCACCAGTCAATTTCCATGCTTAAAATTTCTACAGCAATATAATTTTCTATATTCTTTTTTGGATGACGGTGGTGTTTAGCCCAGCGGGAGACGCACATCACTATTGCACCAGGTACCTGCTACCTCCCATTAGCACAACTACCGGGTAACTCAGCCCACATTTTAAGCAGATTGAAAGAAACCACTTAGTGTTTTTTTGCCTCTGCAATATTTGAACTTAAGACTTCATGGTTCTCTTCACGCTTCATGACCACTAAGCTATTCCCTTAGGTGCAAAAAAAAGGGTTCCCTTTTATTGACAATGTGGTGTTTGGACAGCTTATGCGCACCTCGATTATTCAACCAGATACTCTCACCAAGTACATGTACGTGGTAACTCAACCGACTAGGTACCCGTTATCTCCCACCAAGTACAGGTACCAGGTAACTCTACCGACCAAGGCTTAGGCAGATGAGAAAGAAATACTTAATAGTTTTTCTTATGCTAGGATCTGAACTCTAAAAATGTTCAAAACGCCCAATCCAATAAGCAGGAAGGGGAAAATAGTAATAAAATAATACTAAATAGAAGAGAGGGATTGAAAATTACAGGGTTTGGGCATCAGTACCGAGGCCAGAAAGGCCAATAAAAAGCTTGTCATGTATTTTATAAATTCTTTGGAAATCAGTAGCAATCGTTTGCAGCTGTACACCAAGCCGCCGGTCACTGGCAATAGCGAAACAGTTTTTCCCAACCATAGCCACTAAAGCACTTCCATTGTACTCGAAGATCTGTTCATAAATTTACCAAATTTTCAGAAATAAGTATTATAAATTTTCATATTCGATGCATGAGAGCTAGGTTTACAACAGTTATTAAGCACAAAATTAAGCATTTGTGCACATCAGATGAAGAAGAAAAAGAAGAACTTACCGACATCGTAAACTGATTAGAAAATGATTCGATATTTTCCGGTATACTTTGCTGATGAAGAGATTGTTTTGGTGTCTTGGGGAACACTTTAATTGCAGGACCTTATATTGAATCTTTTTGCAATATTCAATATGGGGATTGCAATTTATTTTTTGGTTAATTAATTTTCTGGTTTTAGCATTACTTTTTAAAATCAAAATAGCCAATTATCAATGTAAGTTGTAATATTTATTTTGTAAATACAAAATTATCTGGAATATATTAACTATTTCTTTATTTTTCCATCGGTTGGAACTTGGAAGGGACAAAAGAAAAAATCTTGTTATTTCTTCAATAATTTCTGATCCCTAGTGGACCTCTCAGTAGGATTCGAAACCAGATAAAGTTCTAACCATCTATCAGAAAAAAAAAGAACGAACGGATCTTGTAGGATTTCTAAGAAATTCGTCGATTTCTTCGAAATAGATGATTAATCATCTACTTCTCACGTTTGAATAGCCGGGACGTTGAGGAATATTCAGAAAGACATTTCAAAAATCGACTTGATTCTATCTCTTTCGTTCCTTTTGAAGAAAGTAAGGATCCCAAAGAATCGATCTTTCTTTTCATTGTTGAATCTCTCTTTGATTAATCAATATGTGATATTTCGAATTCTCATTACTAATGAAATTCAAATGATCTCTGGATTGATCAGAAGATCCTCTCGGTTGGCTAGAATCCATTACTTGAACGAAACTAGATCTTGTGGAGTCATATTGAACATGGTGCAAATATAATAATCTATTAAGCTATTCTACGATTATTAAGTAATAAAGTAAGTTGTGAAAGTTAATGTAATAATGATATCAATGAAATTGTGTCAATCTTTCAAGGATATCGCAGATAAGAGTATTACATAAACAGAAAAAGAAAGAAAAATTTCTTCTAGTTGATTACTTTTAACATTTAGCAAATCTAATCTATAACTTAATTATTTCCTCTATATATATGAATAATTATAGAAGCGAGTCCACCCTTAAGTAGCTCATGGTTTACAAGAAGCAACTTGTTATGATCAATATTGGTATATGGGTATGCGGGACATTATCTTTCAAGTAATTTCAATAAATTTTTATACTTTATTCTTGAATCGGAATATAAATTTTAAAGAATTAAACCTCAGCTACATAAGTAAAATGTCAAAATATCCCTCTTTCATTCAAGCTCATAGTGGTCAATGAAATGTGTTGAAAACTATAACGTCTCAAAGGTAATTTCTTCATATCTGTCCAAGTCTTTATGGACAGAGTTACTCGGTACATGTGCTGTTGGGAAGTAGTAGGTAGTACCCTGTGAAAAGAATCAAGATACGCGCAAGTTGGCTCAATTTCTACGATTATCAAAGAAGAAAAAGAAAAACTATCAGATAAAAATACAAATCTTGCTCCTGACCTCCTGCAAATTGCAATGCCTACTGCCTAATAGCAATACCTACTGCCTAATATCTACATC